AATAAACTTTTGTTTATTTTTGTAAAGAATTATTTTTTTTCTTGTACAAAAAATTCCTTTTGTCCGTAAATCATTTAAGAAAAAGAGAAAATGAGATTCTGGGATGTGAAGAGGGAAGGTAGGACTATGTGTATTAAACCGATGAGAAAAAAAGGGGTGAAAGAATGTTCACTGATACGTGATACTGCCTGTTGTCAGAACCGCTGAATCCTCTCGGTGTGTGTGTGCTCGAAACTGTCCGTGTCGCTTTGATGTCAGCTTGTCGCTGTTCTCTCCCCTTCTGATGAGAGTTTTTCTACCTTCCCTTATATAAGAATGATGAGGCTCCGGGGAGATTAAGAAATGGGTTTCTTAATAGTGTCGAGTCCTGATTGGTCAATAAATCCTATTTTGACCACGTGGTGTGTTTTTCACTACGTCCGAACTTTTGGGTGCGCCATCCTTGTTTTTGACCCCACAGGGCATGGTAAGAATGAATTCCCGCAATTGTATTTTTTGATACACGTGGTGTGAATTAAATTTTTATTGTGTGTATGTGTGTGTGGAAAATAAAATAAGAAACAGCACAACTGTCATTTTCGGTATTTTAAGCTGAAAATCGTCAACTACCCCTTTGGAACAAGACTAAACTTACGTTTTCCAACACCATTTTGAATTCTTCTAGACTCTACACGAAGTGTAACATCGATTAAACCCACGTTAATTTTTTCGCAATTTTTTTTGTAAACAAAAAGGGCCACATCAATATCCAAAGATGCCTTTATTCAGGAGTTTTTCTTTGATTAGGACTCCGATGATGATTTTGAAGTCTTTACTTGAGTGGATATTGATGGCGAAGTGGTCAGAGATGACAATCACGCTAGTGATGTGGAGGAAAGCGACGATGACCACTAGTGACTATTATCATCCATGCTTGAGTAACTTTATGGAAGCAACAGGCAACCATCGATATATCTGATAGTCTTTCTGAAGGTGAATTATTTTGTCTATTTATAAACGACAAAATAATAACTTTATTCGTCAACGAGAAAAATAAATATGAGCCAAGTGAAAGAAAGAGGAAACAAATGCTGGTGTCTTCTCGTATGTAAACACGAGGAAACATGTCACATTTTTGACGAAATGAAAGCCTTCTTAGCAATTTTTGCTTCTTATTGCACCCCCAGATCTCCACAAGTAGTAATAAAAGTTAAAGTATGCCGAATTATTTGTACTTTTAATGTATTTGTTTTTTATTTCATGTTTCAAATTATTTTGGTTTTCAACGTCAAAACATAATGCATTACTATTGTGAGACCGGAAACTACCTACACAATAGACTCTTCCAAGCCTATGTTAAGTAGGCGACATAACACTCTAGAGAGTCACACTGAGACATATAGAGTGGTATAGAGAGTGATATAGTAAGCTTCGCTTACACTATCTCTGTAACCTGTTGTTAATATATCTTTCTTACATCTAATCCATGTTCCGTGTTTTACTTCTGTGGTCCCAACTTTGGCCCCACATCAATTACATCAAAATATTATTCATTCTTTTATTAGTGTACAAATATTAAAATCGATACGCACAATACAAAGTTATAACAATTTTAAAACAGTAGGTGTTCATGCTTTTTGCACCCTAAAATATGCAGTGGCAGGGGAGACAACTCTAGAAAGAAATTAGCGTGGTAAAAGTTTTAAGTGAGTGAAGCTTGAGGGTCTAAGTAAAGAGTAAAGACCAGCCATCTTTGAACATCGTGGACTGGAGCTATAGAACCACAAACAAAAAAAATCCTGTATCAAATAAAATAAGCCACATCACTTAAGGACTACCAACAACCACAAGAACTAAAATGAGTAGCAGAAGAGAAAATTGAAATAATGAAGATCTAAACATTCCACACCGCTTAAAATAGAAGGTTACGGAGGAAGCCATTACCACCAATACCGGAAAGAGCAATAACAGCTACAGGACTTGAGAAACCTATTTTCCTAAAAGAGAAAGATTCTATAAACTTCAACCAAAACCAGTATTGACTAGTCGATCAATTAATTTCAAATGTATCCTTGTAAGAGAATGGCTAAAATTACCATTAGTGTTTCGCTATCGCAATGCACCTTCCGATTTCAGTATCACCAATTCCATCTTCTGTTAAGGTACGTTTTTGATTTACAGTAAGCTTCACACCTTTATAAAGCTCAGGAGCCACTCGAGGTAGAGGGTTACGTTAGAAGGCAATTTGTGCGTATAGGAGTGGAAGATAACCCTAGCTTTGAATAGGTTAAGACTCTAGTGATCGGGGAAACATTTCGTAGTCGGTTCCCACAGATACCCAAACATCGTGGAAGAAGCAATGTTCGGGTGGAACTTTTTTTATATCGATGGAATACGGATTAAAATGTACTGGTCTACTATGTAAATGGTGTGTCCTTGCCATAAATTTGTCTGACGGAACCAAAGAATATTTATCATCCGAGCCATTTCGTTCTCGATAGAGCAATATCATTTTGCTTAAATTTTCCGCCTGTGAGAGAAGCTAGAGAGTGGTAAATAATTCATCACCCACAAGGGCTCAGAGACGCTTTTGGACTCAAGGCTGGAGAGTGAGATTTGGGCAGCTCCATTGTTAACAATTGTTGTATCCTCAATAAATGCTCGTCGCCAAATTATTTGTTTAAATAAAATAAATGAAAGTTTTTTTGAGTTAACAAATATATTAACAAAAACCAGTAATACAATAATATACAAACGAGCAAAAATTTAAATGAACTGTCAGAGCAGGAAAAAAATCTACCTGATAAAAAAACAGTACCTGTTTTTTATTTGTATGAAGAGTCCATTCTTGTATGGGTATTTTACCAAACAACAAAATCTCCATGGGGGGGCGGACCAGAGCCAGCACAGGAGGGGTGACACAATGTCACCCCAACAAATTTTTAACCAGTCTAAGGTGCCAAAAATAGTCTGAAAAACAGTGGTGGAGACACAGGGTTTCGCAGGCTAAATATGACTCCCCAGAAATAATTTATGACTCCCATTTTTGTCCCCCCGTCAAAATTTTCTAATAAATTGTCAGTGAAATTTGTAAGTAGGAAAAATAGCAATGCTTTTTTTGATTTGAACTGATTATTTTGTGGTATTGAATTTTGTCTTGGATCATACATGTAAACAATAACGTACCGGTCAGTAAGTAAAGTAGAGGTAGAGCATGTATGAAAATTTAAATACAGCTAACCATTCAGCATAGGGTGAATCAGGGTCATTAGGGTGACATTTGAAATACCGCCCCGGGTGACGTTTACTCTAGCTACGCCACTGGTTAGTAAATTCAAATAATGTTTTGAGCTACGAGGGTTTGAACTGAATTGAATATCGGTATGTATAAATTTGAGAAAATAATATGATATGAAAAAATAAAAACGAATTTTAATGAACGAAAATCTTTACATGTATGTAAACTAACAAGATTCCATTTAAATTAAAAAAATTCTATTAGTTTCCTAAAAAAGTTTATAAAAAATTTTCAAATCGTTAGAGAATAAATTTTATTCGATCAGTGCCCAAAACATCTTAAAAATTTTTATATAAATTTAAAAATACTTAAAAATTTTTGAAAAGTATTTATTTAGAAAAAAGAGACGACATGCATTTAACGGATGTCAGAATTCATTGAAAAATATACATCCCTACCCTTACCAGAACGTAACTAATAACTGATACATCAAAATACAGTGATAATAAACACGCAAACACCCCTTTGTCTGTATCCCTGAAAACTTGAATTATGAATTTTGCTGTGCTGTTTAAAACCCAGTAATTTTAAAAATAAGTTACTCCAAAATTCGCTTCAGGATGAAATGGAACTAATGTCTTTAATTTAATTAAAAATTAAATTCAAAGCTTTTAGCTTCCATTTTTTGAAACATGGTTAGAACTGTGTAGTTAAAAAAATATATTTTAAATCAATTAATTTATAATATTAATGCTCTGTAAATTTACATTGAAAACTATTTTGTAAAAATAAAAATATCTATAAGAACATCGGATTATATATCTTACTGTTCTTTCTTATATATATATATATATATATATATATATATATATATATATATATATATATTATGAGCAGAAAGATGCAAATGGATCTATAAGTGAGCAAACTAAAAATCAGGAATTCAACTGTCTATGTTACTTGCCATGTTTCTGAAAAAATTTAATAAAAAATTTTTTTTTTCATATGAAAATATTTATATTTTTTTTCAAACTAAATGAATCATGAAAATTGTAAAACAATTATTTCAATGTTTTGCGCAAAGTCATCAGTTGATCCATTAATGTGTTTTCGATTAGCGTGTTAAAATTGTTATATACCAAAATTCAATTAGAGCATAAATAATACTCGATTAGTGTGGTAAAACATTCTAACATTAGGGTGCGTCTTCCAAGCCGCAGCGTCTTGTAAGCCGGAAAATACGGTACATCATTTCCTAGAAGTTATTCGATTAATGGCGTTTGCGATTAGTGCGTATCTTTTAATGTATACATTAACCGCATTAATCGAGGGATTCCAGTATTTCATTGGCTGGTGATAAATTTGCTTGTAAAAAGAACAGGCGAGACTTAAAAAAAAAGAAATCTATGAAGAGGAGAAGTTTCGTTTCATAAATATATTTTTAAATTTATTATGTTGAATATTTGATCCATATGGAAACTATCGCTGTAGATAAACATCTGATCAGTTTGTTTCACTTTACAATAAATAGCAATTCGCATCGACAGGCGGGAGTCATTATCGCGTCCCATATAAGGTATGTAATCCTCTGGGTTGACTTCCATCACGATTGACTTATCTAAGAAAAATAATAACCAGTACAGAGAATTATAAATAAATCTTTACGAAATTGTTTAATGCTTTTTACAAGGGACATTATATAAGCAATAAACTTCATACAGAAAAGCAGTCACGGTTGATTTTGCGATGAAAAATATGAATGAATTTTATTAAAAAAGACGTTTCAAAATATGAAATGCATTGGCCAGTGATCCATAAAAAGAAAGAAAAAAGTTTGAGGTGAAAAAGAAACAGGAAGAAGAAAAATAAAGAAACAGAGATTTTTATATGAAAAAATAAAGGAAAAGGAAGAAAGAGAAAAAAGAAGAAAAAGAGGAAATGAGAAAGAAAAAGTTGAAAAAAAATAAAATAAAAAATAAGGAAAATAAAAGACGAAAAAGCTGAAAATGACGAACGAAAAAAAGAGAAGGATGAAAAAAAAGAGAACAGAAAGAAGAAAAAAGTATAAAAAAGAGAAAGAAGAAAAAGAGAAAGAAGAAAAAGAAAGAAAAAGAAAAGAAAAAAGAAAGAAGAAAAAGAGAAAGAAAAAGAGAAAGAAAAAGAAAAAGAAAATTGTTTTCCGTTTGCAAATTAAAAAAGAAAGAAGAAAAAATAAAAAAAAGAAAAAAAAGAAATGATAAGGATTAGAAAAAAGGACGAAAAAGAGAAAGATGAACAATGAGAATGACGAAAAAAGAGAAGAATGAAAAAAGGGAAAGATGAAAGAGAAGGATGAAAAAAGAAGAAAAAATGAGAAAGATGAAAAAGAGAAAAGGATTAAAAAAGGAGAAGGATGAAAAAAAAAAAGATGAAAAAATAGAGAAAACTGAAAAAGAGAGATTTTAAAAAAAAAAAGAAAAAAGAAACAGACGAAAAATTAAAGAAGACGACGAAAGAGAAGGTAATAAAATATGATGTGAATTATGTGAGATTATGGCGAAAGAGAAAAAGGAAAAAGAAAAGGAGGAAAAGAAAAAGAAAGCAAAGGAGAAAAGAAAAAGAAATGAATGTAGAAAAAAAAGAAAAAAGAATATTTTAAATATGAAAAAGAAGGTTAGAAAAAAATAAAAAAGGATATATGAAAAATGATATAGAAAGAAAATAAAAGGTTCTAAAAATGGAGAAAAAAAAATTTTTCATTTAAAATAAAAAAAGAAAGAAAAACAGGAAAAAAGAAAAAAGAGAAAAACAATGAAAGGAAGAGAAGGAGAAAATGAAAAGGAAAAAGGCGAAAAGAAAATGGTAAAAGAGAAAAAGAAAGTAAGAGAAAAATAAAGGAATAATGGTAACAGAGAAAAAAAGGACAAAGAAAGAAATAAATTAAAGAAAAAAAAGAAAGAAAATTTTTTTCAAAGAGTCCTCAAAAATAATAGAAGAAAGAAAGAAAAATTATAAAAAATAAATAAAAAAGATTATAAAAAATATAAAGAAAGAGAAGAAGAAAATGAAGTAAGGCAATAAAAATAAATGTGAAGGAGAAAAAGGGAGGAAAAATGAAGTTGAAAATTAAAAGGAGAACAAGGAAGAAAAATAAAAAAAAGAAGAAAACGAATAAGGCGTAAAAGAAAAAAGAGAGAAAAAAAAAGCTAAAGAAGATTAAGGCGAAGAGAAATAAAGGCGACAAAAAAGACGAATAATATAAACATGAGGCAAAAAAGAGAGAGAAGAAGAAGAAAGAAATAGTGGCGAAATAAAGACAGAAAGAAAGATATGAAAGAAAAAAAAAAGAAATGGTGTTGAAAAAGAAAATAAGTGAAAAATGAAGAAAAAAAAAAGGAAAAAGACGAAAGGGGAAATGAAAGAAAAGAAAAAGAAAATGTACGAGAAAAGATGAATGAAAGAAGGAAAAGGTGAAAAAGAGAAGGAGAAAAAGAAAATAGAACAAGAAAGATATGAGAATAAGAAAAGGAAAATAAACTAATAGGCAAAAATAATAGAAGCGAAAGAATAAACGTTATGGAGAAAAGATTGTGGAGGGGGAAGAAATGGGGGTAAAGGAAATGAAAGGAAAAAATGAAAAAAGAGAAGACGAAAAAGAACAAAGAGAAAAAGAAAAGGTGAAAGCAAAAACGAAAGCTAAAGAGACAATTATAGAGAAGGGAAAATATGAGAACGAGAAAAAAAATGAGAATAGAGGAATTAAAAGGAGAAAATGAAAAAAGAAAGAAAGAGAAAACGAAAAAATGAAGTTATAGGAAAAACAGGGAAAAAGAGAAAAAAAAAGAAAAACACTAAAATAGAAATAGAGAGTGAAAAAGACAATAGAGGCAGAAAGAAAAATAGAAGAGAAAAGAGAGAGAGCGAGAGGAGCAAAAAAGTAGAGGAGGAAAGAGAGAGAGCGAGAGGAGCAAAAATAGAGGAGAAAAGAGAGAAAGCAAAAATAGAGGAGAAAAGAAAGGCAGATAGAGTAACAAATAAAGGAGAAGAAAGAAAAATAGAGAAGAAAGAAACAAATGAACGAGAAAGAAAGAAAGAAAGAAAGAAACAAATGGACGAGAAAGAAAGAAACAAACAAACGGAGGAAAACAAATTGAATGGATGAACATGAAAAAACGACAAATGGACGAAAAAAAAAAAGAAAAAAATGGACGAGAATGACAAAAAAAAAAAAAAAGACGAGAATGACAAAAAAGTAACAAATGGACGAGAATGACAAAAAAATAACAAATGGACGAGAATGACAAAAAAGTAACAAATGGACGAGAATGACAAAAAAGTAACAAATGGACGAGAATGACAAAAAAAAAAGAAACAAATGGACGAGAATGACAAAAAAAGAAACAAATGGACGAGAATGACAAAAAAAGAAACAAATGGACGAGAAAGAAAAGAAAGTAACAAATGGACGAGAAAGAAAAGAAACAAACAAATGGACGAGAAAGAAAAAAACAAACAAATGGACGAGAAAGAAAGAAACAAACAAATGGACGAGAAAGAAAGAAACAAATGGTGGAGAAAGAAAGAAACAAATGGTGGAGAAAGAAAGAAAGAAGAGAAAGAAAGAAGAAAGAAGAGAAAGAAAGAAGAAAGAAGAGAAAGAAAGAAGAGAAAGAAAGAAAGAACTAAAAAAATAGAGGAGAAAATGAAAGGTAATAAAACGGTACAAAAGATGGATGGGATTTTATGATGACAAAATTGCTTACTGTCTTTGGATCCGACATTGGTACTGACGTGCATCTCCTTGCACATTCCGATCTGGTCGCCGTAATGGTTAACGATCTTACAATACATGGACGTTTGCACAGTTCGCTTGTCGAATCCGATGTTCCGTCCGCTGACGGTGACGGAAAACTTTTGTCCAACCATCACATTTTCTTTGTCAGTCACACGAAACTCCATGTCCTTCAAATAGAAACAAAAATAATTCAATTTTTTTTCGCAATCAACGCGTATTTTCTCAGGGAGAACCAGTGTCTTGAGCGCCTATTGGAATTGAAACCCAGAAAAGTAAAATTCGTACATACGATCCATTGCTAAAGAAACTGGGAAATGGTCAGATCCCTGTTATTGGCACCTCGCCATCAGTCACTATCCCACCACCGAAATCTAGCTTCCTGTAGCCTTTTCTATAAATACTTTCATGCTAATTATTCTGATAAACTTTCCTCTATGGTACTTAGACTTTATGAATATAAGCGCAGTACAAGACTGACGGCAAGGGCTCATCATTTTTACACTTGAAATGGAGAGATGTAACTCTAAGTTCTAGGCTAACAATTTCTTCCACCAGGCTTCTCGATTGTAGAACTCTTCCGGCTTTTTGCTTTACAATCAACTTTGGTCTTCAAAAATTTGAATGCAATGTCAATGGTAATCTTCTTTCTTCTTAATTCCCATCCTTTTATTGTTGTCTCTCCTTAATAGTAATTTTTCTGATATTCTCTAACACCTTGTAAGCTTTTGTGTCTTAGTGGCTTTATTGCCTTTGATCTTCAAATATTTAAATGGAATATCAATAGTTATCTTCTGTCTTCTTAATTCTCATCCTTTTATTGTTCTTTCTCCTTAATAGTATTTTTTTCATACTCTTTAACACTCAGTAACCTCTTGTGTCTTAGTGGCTTTATTGCCTTTGATCTTCAAAAATCTAAATGAAATACCAATCGTTATCTTGTCTTCTTAATTCCTGTCCTTTTATTGTTCCCTCACCTTAATAGTAGTTTTTCTCATTCTCTAACACTTAGTAACCCCTTTGCGTCTTAGTGGCTTTATTGCCTTTGATCTTCAAAAATGTAAATGCAATGCCAGTCGTTATATTTTGTCTTCTTAATTCCTGTCCTTTCATTGTTCTGTCTCCTTAATTGTAATTTTTCTCATATTCTCTAACACTCAGTAATCCTTGCGTCTTAGTGGCTTTAGTGCCTTACTTGATTAAAAAACAAAAAGATTCCTAAAAAAAACTTTTACATTTTCAGGAACCGGATCAAACCAAAATGGTGTACTGCTGTCAAAGTGGAGACTAGGCAGTTACAGCCAAATCTCCACCTTTCAGTTTTCAGAGAAATAAAAAAAAGAAACCAAATTGTGAGTTATGCGTTGTTTTCCACCTTTAACTCCTTTCCCACAGATGAAATGCTATTGTAGCACTATTTTCTTGAAAAACTGATTTAAGAGAAAGCTCTTATAAATTTCAACCGATAGTAATGGTAACTGATTTCAAAATGCCGAATGTTTCCTTAATTATAAACAAAAATTTCCACCATTAACATATGCAAATTTTGTTCTGCAGTTAATTTCGACTTTTTAAATTCTTTAAAAGTAATCCTCAAGTTATGGTAAAAAAAAGTCTGTCTTTTTATAATTTCTCTGGAAACGATGCAAACGGCCCATTTTAAAAAGAAAAAATGAAAAAAAAACTATAGACGACCGTTTTCAAAAATCCAAAGAATCGGTTCGACTATCACGAAAATTCATCCGAGCTTCCATGTCATGATAATTAAAAAACAGTAATATTTGGTCCCAAAGGACCCGAACTGTCCAGTTATCCAACGATGGATCAGTTTCTCCTCAACTATGGGTTAAATAGTAGGACTTGGAAAAATCATTGTTAGTATCAAAAAACATTCTTAATGCAATATTCACCCGCAGAAATAAAAATAAAAACAAAAAAAAACATGAAAAAATAAATAAAATTTTTTGTTTTTGAATTTTTTTAAATTTGGAACCACCCATTTGAAGAATTAAAAAGATATAAAAAAATATTTACTAACCAATGAGAAAAATATTATGTCATTGCGATACAAACCAAAACCAACGAGTAGATTAATGTAAACAATACATGGCGCCGTTATGTGAGATCCTTCTTTTTATTTTGTTGTTGTATAAGAATGATTTTTGTTTTTATATAAAAATTTCTTTCCACTATTAGGGTGTGTCTTCAAGCCGCAGCGTCTTTTAAAAAATATTAAATGTGAAGATAAATTAGTATCATTTAAGGATTAGTTAACTGGATTTTGTAAATGTAATGAACATTTCGGCTTAAAAAAATATAGCAAAATTAACATTTACACACAGTAACCAATGAGCTGTCATAAAGGTCAAGTTCAATAACAGTTTTTTTGACTATTTTTCAGCCCCCAAAGCGTGCCCCAGTATTTCAACAAAGTTTTCTAAAAAAAGAAAACGATAAATTTTTTCACAATGATGTTGACTTAGAAAAAAAAATTTTAAGAGCCAATAATAGAAGGTTATTTGATAAGACTATGTAAGAAAGAAAAATAAAAATTAACCTAGACTTGGACAGATTGTTATACATTATATTAATCAGGGAAGATCCTCTTAGAGTCAAAAGATTAAAAATTTCTTTCTATTTTATTGTCTTCAAAAGGAAATTACAAGAGAAATAAATAATAATAATTAAAAATTAATTTAAAAAAAACAAGGACAATTAAAGATATATATTATATTTACTAACGACTAAATAAAGTTTCATTGCCATACGAACAAAATCAACAATATTAATTTGTCAATAAGTGAATTCAGTATGTGAACCCAAAATAGTTAAATGAATGTGTTGTTGTATGAGAATTTTTTTTTTTTAAATAAAATACTTTTTCAATATTATCTGTGCGTCTTCCAAAAAATGCAGTGTATTTGGAAGCCGGAAAATACGGCAGTCCGTTTGAAATACTTTAACTGATAGTGTAAGAATAGCGTTCATCTGTGGAAAAATTGCGTTTCTTTTGAAATGAAGAAATAATACTGTGGAATTCCCCATAGCCATTTCGGATTGGTAGAATCAGAAAAAAATTGTTCGAATTCCACAATCCATTTACATTCATTTTATACTAAAATTTATTAATTTAGTTTAATTTCATTTTTTTCTCCCCAGTTATGGGTAAAAATATTTACAGAAATAAAAATTATAGCCAGGGATGGCAAAGAAATGGTCTAACTCGCAGAAAAAAAAAGTGAAGAAAATTTAATATCTTTTTCGTCAATGTATCGAAAGATATTGATAAATTATTGTTAAACGCATGGCAAATAACTTCAGTCTTTGACTTTCCGTTCATTTATTTCGATTTATTCATAGTGATAAAAAAAAAAAAAAAGATTTATGATATCATCTTCTCCCCAAAACATGGGTTAATTTTAAAGACCGGGTTTATAGCCTTGGAAGGAAAAAATGAAGAGTACCGCATAAAAAAAAATTTAATCTAAATGAAAAAAAAATTCGTCAGTCATGAAGAAAGAAAATGAATTTTAACAATATCGCCTAAAGAGAAGGATCATGAAATGATATAACAGACTGAAATTAAAAAACAAAAATTCTGAAAAGGTAAAAAGTATTATTCTCCCTCCATTCCGCTACTATATATTTAGGACAGACCGGGTTCTATAGCCTTTGGAATAAATAAATCTGAAATAAATATGGCAACCTACTGAGGGGAAAAATCTGCCTCGTCAGTCAAAATATCGAAAAAAGACATGATCGCCTTCTATTGTATCACATGGCACATAAATTTTTGACTGAAATAGATTTTCAAGAAAAAAAATTGAAAAAATGGTAAAAATTTTGAAAAGATGTTTTTGAAAAGCTTAAGAAAAAGAAAAAAAAAAATTGAATAATTAAGACCTTTCTTGTTTTCAAAAAATAAAAATAAAAAAAAATTCTATCATTTCAAAATTTTGATTTTTGAATAAACCATTATATTAAAAAAATTATTAAAAAAAAAAAAAAAAAAAAAAAAAAAAAAAAAAAAAAAAAAAAAAAAAAAAAAAAAAAAAAAAAAAAAATATAAAAAATCAATCTATTTACAGTTTGATCGAGATTTAGATTCAAAGATGGTGTAATGGTTTTTGAAAATTTTTTACTCAGAACAATCATAAATGATTAATGAAGAAATCCTTTAAGGTTTTACTTTTAAGTTAAGATACATCTGAAAACAATGGAAAATTTTAAATTGGCACCTCAAATTGGAAAAAATAATGGTTTGTCTGTTTTTATTGATTTTTGAATTTTTAAAGAAAGAATAGAAAGAGATAGATCCTTAGAATGATGTTAACATCAAGAATAATTTGAATTGTATCTTAAAAAAAGAAAGAACATGTATAATTTTGAAAAGAATCAAATATTGATTATATAGTTAAATATTTGAATATATTGTTATAAATATTTTATTTTGAAGAATGAAATTTTGATAAAGGAAAAGAAAAATTTTTTAATAAAAAAAAGAAAGAAAATTTCATGGTTTGATTTATGGTTTATTGATGAAAAAATCAAAAAAATTTTAATAAAGAAATTCTAAATGTTTTCAAATTATTTCAAAAATATTTTTTCTTTTCAAAGTATGGAAATACTTAATTTTTTTTGAGAAAAAAAAGAGACAAAAAAAAAAAAAACAAAAAAAAAGAAAGAAAAAGAAAAATAGAAATGTTGAGAAAAGAAAGAAAAAAAAGAAAAAATTAAAAAAGAGAAAGAGAAAAGGAAAAGAAGAAAAAAAGAAAAAAAAGAGAGAAATTAAAAAGAGAAAAAGAAAAAGAAAAGAAAGAAAAAAAAAAAGAAAAAAAAAAGAAAAAAAAGAAAAAAAGAAAAAAAGAAAAAAAAAAAGAGAGAAGAAAA